TTGTATCGGTCATTGCGGTGCAGGCCTCGGTGGTGGTGGTTGGGCTGCTGGTACCTGTCTGGCGGTCTGGATAGGCCCCTGAGGTGAAAAAACTGGGCAATGCATCCGAATATGCCCCACACCTCCGCATGAAAAGCAGGATCGGGGGGGTAATACCGGCTCTAGTCTGAGTGTCTCCCTCTCCTCGGGCTGTCAAAAGTCGTTGTCCACCTGTCTGGCTGGGCGACGGTATGGTGTCGGTCTCTGTGCCCCATTAGTGCTAGCACCCGTCCGAATTGGACCTCCTCTCGAGAAGCCCTATCGTCGTTGGCTATCCTTTATGTCTCTCTCTACCAGTGCAGCTCTGTCCACCAAGTCCCCAAAATCACGGATCTTGAGAGCTACCAACTTCTCCCTGATGATCGGCCTCAGACCCTGCTCATAAGATTCAGATAGAACAAGTAAGAGTCTGTTGGATTGGGCATGGTTTCCATTTGAATGAAATAAAAAAATGCTTAACACAAATAAATATGCATATGGTATCTTAGGCAAATAAATAACAAATGAATATGAAAATTTAAATGAAATCCACATTTGTCGGACATGCACCGGCCTACGAATTTGAACATTTTGTTTTTCTTAAGAGCTATGTCATTTAGTCGGTATTTTTTGGTATACTAATCTATTCAATGTCTTTAATGATATTTTTGGCATTTACAAAATTTTTATTATTGATATGATTAGACATTATCGTGCCTATTAAAAAGGGGAAATTTGTAGCTAAGTTTTAAATAGTAGGGGAAGTTATATAATTAAGGAATATGGGGAGAGAATTATTGTTTTGAGCTATTAAAAAAGAGGCAGTGTTTTGAATGATTCTAATAATTATGGGAGACTACTTTTTTTATTAAGTATTTTGATAAGGACATTTAGATGATCAAAAGTTTTTCATACATCCATACTTCTATTAATAGTATAGCTATAGATGAAGGAAACATTGGTTGTATTGTTTCCATGACTAAATTTTATTCTATCAAAATTACCTGCGACCAGCTGCATATATGGAATACGGAAGTGAATAACAAGCAAGAGTCGGGGCACATACAATTAGATTTGAGGATATGTCTATATTCTATGTAGAAGCACTGGCAGGTAGGCATAGAGTTCCTAAATTATTGTGCACCACACAGATAGTTGTCATTCACTTGTTCAAATAAGTGCACGAACTATGAACGTATAATACCTAAGTGCACGCCAATCACTAATTTTACCAAATGATATGGAATATCAATCCGAGCTTTACATTTAGAAAGCATTGTGTCCCTATGAGAAGATCTATGTCTGCATAATTCTTTGATGCATTAGCAAACCTGTAAAGATGGCTAACTCATAGTCAAATATCAAAATTGTTGCAATGTAGGACTCACTACCTACACTGAAATGAAATGCCAGCAATATTCTAACATTCACGAAATTCCAACCCCTCATCAAAACGAAGAAAATATTTATGCAAGCCCCCAAAAGCTCCAAAGAAATGTTAGAAAAAAGTGTCAAAAGTTGTACTGTCAAACTAACCGTGGCACTCACACCAATGTAATCCTATGGCTATTATGGTATGATCATCTCCAGCAAAAATGGCCACGCAATATGCTGCAAATACCACAAACATGATTTTAATCATGATAAGGTACACCCATCATAAACAAGAAAAGAAGTATCCAAACAAAATAAAATTATGTGACAAAATATAGGATCAACATTCAAGTAAACCCAATTCAGGAATGATGATGGGTATCAAAAAAATACCTTTTCACAGACGGCCCGTAACTCTGCCAGACAGACTGTGTCAGCCTTCACCTAAGCACATTGAGAACTAAGCTAACTACACTACATCACAAATGACCACATATATGCAATAATTATGACACTAAGCAAAAAAATATGACACATGACAACAAAAAATAATTGAACAAATTAGATCCTGTTAATTTCGATTTTTGTTAATTTTGGTCAAGTATGAACATCCATTTTAAAATTAATTGGGTCCAACTGACAAACCCATAGAAATTCACCGGTGGTATCCATTACTACCTGAAATTGACCGGAAACAACCCACTTTGACAGTGGAGGGATCCTAGAGCATAATTGGAGATACAAATCAATAATGAAGGACCACCCCATATTGATCCAATAGAATAGAATGTCAGTGTCACATATCCCCTTGAAGTATTTCTTTTATTTTGCTCTGAGGACTGGGCTTGTGTTTGAGTTGACAGGGTGGAAGGAATATGTGGCCATCATTTGGACTAAAAGTGCCATATGTAAACCTCCCGTCCCGTCTCTTGTATTGGAAGGATAATAAGTTCCGCTTGACTTAAAGAATTCCGTAAAGCCCTCAAGATCATCCCTCTCTCAATCTTTTATTGCACAACGGCATACAAGATACTCTACAAACAACCCTCCAGAAGGAGTGAAGGACCAATCAGGTAACAATGCAAAGCCATTACCATAATAAACTACAACCAGAAAAAACACAATCACGTATTATAAAGTAGCTAAAAATTGGTCGTCTTGAACTGATGCTATGACAAAACCTACAGTGGTACCTCCGAAAGAGCTTTACGAGCCCCCATAACTCTCTCCTCAAGCAACAGCATCACAGCTTCAACCAATGAAATATAGCCTTTTATTGTGCCAAGCTTCCAACAACTTCACAGGGAAATGATACGGAAGTCAGATGATGAAAGACAACTGTAAATAAGATAACAGATTATATAAAGAGAACAAACCTTGTCAACTGATGTTGAAAACAGATAGTGCCTGTGCCCCAAAAGTCACTTCTTTTAACCCTGTGCATTTTTGGTGTCAAAGGCCAACATATTTCATGACACAGAACACTCAATGAAAACAATATTAAATTATACAAGAATTGTGCAGTACGAAGGCTAGTACCAAACACCAAATTTTCCCCGAACCCATATCTATGGTGATGGGGTGGGGTTGGAGGTGAGATAAACTTGACCGGTAAATGATACAAAACAAAAATAATGCTACTCAGGAACTACTCACATTTAGAAGGAAAACCAATAAACCCTCAGGGTACACGACACCATCTGTCATAAAGAAATACTGAACTTCATTATAAGTTTGCCACATGCAAGGGTGCAGATAAACACGTTGATGCAGAAATAAAAAACCAAGCACTCGGCAGACAAAAATCACAACATAATTTTAAATTATGTGAAAGACATATGCGTGGGAGAGGGGGCCTGCATTGATGTGGCAAATAAGTGAACGTACGAATGGTTAGTTCCATCGGTCATCCAACAAATTAATATAACCATCTAAAGGAGATGAAAAATCTAAAATCCCTCTCAGAATTTGATTATGATGCCATAGACCAACATATCAAGATTTTTAACAGATCCCACATAGCAGTGTATTCGACAAATTAATATAACCATATAAAGGAGATGACAAATCTAAAAATCCCTGTCGTAAGATGATTATGACGCCATAGACCAACACATCAAGACTTTAATAGATCCCACAAGAGCAGTGTACCAATAGGACAACTTACAGAGAGTTGAGGGCAAAACACGGCATTGTTTGATTAACCTGGTGAAGAAATTCCAAGATTATGTAGGTAAAAGTTTCATCCAGGTGAATATGTCTGAATTGCAAGAAATTATGCTTCCAACAAAATAAAAAATAGAAAATGTCAAAACAATTAGTGGAAAAAGAAACATTTTGAATTAAGCTAAGTTTTAAGGTTTCCACAGAACCAACCCAAAAATATTAACTAAAATAAAGCTCTCACTAGATATATAGAATAAAATTTGTTACTATTATAGAGGGAGAGAACAGAGCAAAACAATAACCTATGACAACCTAAGAGGTCATGAGACAACAATTTGCGCTTAGGAGGAGCAACGAGATTAGAATATGCACAATTTCATCATAATGAAATAATGAATAAAAATATCATAGTTCAGCCCCAGTGAAAAGGCTGCACGATCTTTGCTGTCATTGTTAATGCAAACCACCGGAAGAAGTTGACGAAATGACTGTCAGGTCCAGCACTCAGTAGAAATCATTTGACTGGATGTCCACAAATTGAAGAGAATCAATCTTATTAAGTCTTTCATGGCATATTCGATCAACAAAAGAATGCCAAATTGGTTTACCTTTTCAGTTGATTTATCGAAGAAACAACAATTCAAGAGTTCTAGTGAACTAAAAACAAGCACATATAACAAAATCGAAACAATTAACAGGCCCCCAAAGCATGACTTTCTGACCGAGATCAGATTGTACCTTCGGTGAGATGACCTCAGAAGTGGCAACTTCAGCAAGCTTTACCATGTAATGGGGAGGAAGCGAGGAAGTGATGTCCATCAGAGAAGCTATGGATGCTTGCTTGACCATTGAGGACTCATCTGCCAATAAAGAAACCATGACTTGAATCGCCTCTGAAATAAAGGTAAAAATCAAAGATAAGAAGTAAAAAGGTCAAAATCACAAGAACTGTTGACAAAATCACAATGAGGTCCAGCATTCATAATAGAGATCATTTGACTGGATCTCCAAAAATTGTCGAGAGTCATAGACTACTCAACCATGCCTCGTATAACCATCATAAACTCACTCAAGCTAAATGAAGAGCTCATTCACAATTCCATGATCTAACCAAATGCAGATTTCTAACCTCATCATAATCCATATTGGTCAACAAACTTCTTTGACAAACTATCCTTCTTAATGGTTCCAAAGTGAGCCAAACGAGAATCATGCAGTTGACAACAATTTCAAATATCAGGACATTCCCCACATCCACATAACAAACCTGCATTATTCCTACGAGTGAAAGCATGAGGCAGACAACCCCAACCACTGAACTTTGTATCATAACCTACCACTTACCATGTGTTCAGATAGCTATGAGGATAGAAGGTCCTGGAATATAGATAATAATCTACTTTGTAGTCCATCATAAATCAGCTTCTATGCCTCATCCCTCATGGCATGACCTGTGCATACCAGGCCAACATGTACTTACCAAAATTACAAATATTAGCAGGAAGCAAACAACCTAATAAATGAATTAGAACCACATGAATGGGGGCTAAAGCATTCACATCAATCCAATAGAAGGGTAAACACCATGCAATTGGTAAAAGTGCTGGCATAACAGTGAAAACAACCTTGAGACAACTTTTCACTTAGATATTTGGCATATCAAAGCAATAAAAACAAATCCATGTAGATATAAAAAAAAAAAAAAAAAAAAAAAACAACAATCACAATAATAACAAAAAGAACATTCCCCACACCCACATAACAAACCTACATACTCCTACGAGTGAAAGCATGAAGCAGACAAGCCCAACCACTGAACTTTTGTATCATAACATAGAACCTACCATGTGTTTGGATAGCTAGAGGATAGAATGTCCTAGTATATATATAGTAATCCACTTTGTAGTCCATCAAAAATCAGCTTTTGTGCCCGATCCCTCATGGGATGACCTTCGGATCCCACTCCACCATGTACTTACCAAAATTACCAATATTAGAGGAAGCAAACCACCAAACAAAATGAATCAGAACCACATGAATGGGGCTTAAGCATTCACATCAATCCAACAGAATGTTAAACACCAGGCAATTGATAAAAAGTGTAGGCATAATTATAAATACAGCCTTGAGGATAATTGGCATAGGAAAGCATTGAAAACAATCCATGTATCATAATAATAAAGAAAAGGAAAGAAAAACTTTAATGTTGAAAAAGATTGTTTACCCCTTCAAAGACTTCCAAATCTCATTGGTCTACATCTACCCTGGGAGATATATATATATATATGGTAACAGTGCGACTGCGAAGCTATAAACACAATTAACTACAATCAGAAAAACAAAATCACATATTATAAAGCAGCTACAAATTGGACGATTGTATTGATGCTGTGAAAAAAGTACAGCTATCCATTTGTTATTACCAAGTACATCTGAAAGTTCTTTACGAACCCCCAGACTTCTCTCCTTGAGCAGCAGCAGCACAGCTTCTCTGACAGAGCATTCAAGAAAACCCTTGATTGATAATAGTTTGCAATGAGTTCGCCGATGACGCTTCAGGTGTTATCGAAACTAGCTCCCTCGATGAAATAGGAACCGAAATCTCAAATTGATTTAGAAGAGCGGACATTATGAAAGCCCCAAATCTCCACTGACATTGTTAATCACCGACATCACAATCTCTCCCGTATACTCCCCACCAGCCATGCAAAATCCGAGGACAACTCACTGGCTTTATTCACTTAACTCAAGAAATCGTTAAAGAACAAAGCGAATGAATCGCTTCCAAGCGACTATGGCCAAAAAGATTGGGCGAAAGAATACGGAATCGACCTAAAAAAAACCCTAGGACTGCGAGTACCGCATTAAGCTGTGACCTCGAAACCCTCAAAGATCCGGCCGGAACAGAGTCAATTGGTGGACATTGGCCACAAATCCAAGCCAATTTATCAGCAAACTGCGAAGGATTCTGTGCGATCAGATCGCAGAGTTCGATCAACGACTCCATTGTTTTAAAATGCTGAATATTTTCGGAGAGAGGAAGGAGAAATCAAACAAACCGAAGTGAAAAATTGATCTAGTGGTGGAATTTAGGGTTTACGAAGAGACGATCGTCGTTTCTTTGAATCGTTAAGATAACAGAGAGAGAGCCGTTGAGAGTGAAGGAGAAGAGAGGCTTTGGACTACATTTATAGTTTGTGAACAACCGATTAGGAAACCAAGAGAGGAGAAGACAGGTTTGGGTGTGAGCTAACGGCTAACTCGGATTAGGAAACCAATTGAACTGTCTTGCCTATAAGTGAAAATTACACTTTGACCCCTTGACGATTTCATATTTTTCATGAGGAAAATTGATGTTTGTTGAGCATAATTTTTAATTAATCTATTCACCCCCTCCCCTCTGGGTAGTGTCTTGCAACCTATATGTATAATTGTAAGGGAAGATCCACTGTGTACGCGACAGTTTTTAAGATGCCACATTCTCTTCGAAAATCTCATAATTGGAAATCCTCCAGAACTCATTTAGTGTCACAACATTGAATATGAGATTCAAGTCTTTCAAATTCCATCTTGTAGACTAGGGGTTTGGTTCGGTTATCGAAACACTACCTTCAGTAGTAGTGATAGTAGGAGGGTCCCAACCATATTATTGTAGTATGATTTGCTTTAGATAAATTCAAATCATATTTAGTTGGATCTTCAATTATGTTTTTTACTGACCATGCAGCTTTGAAGTACTTACTTACGAAGAAGGATGTCAAATCATGCCTCCTCCGATGGACACTTCTACTTCAGAAGTTTGATCTCATTATCAAAGACAAAGAAGGAGTGGAGAATATGATAGCCGACTATCTATCAAAGCTGAATTATGATACAAAAGAGGAACTTCTGCTAATTAAAAAAACTTTTCCTGATGAGCAACTCTTTGCAATCACTGAGGCACCATGGTATGTGGATATTACCAATTATTTAACCACATGTACCATTCCTTTTTACTACACCTTGGCTAATAAACAAAAAATTTTAAGAGAGGTACAAAATTTCTTTTGGGGAGATCCTTATTTAAATATTGTAAAGATCAAATTATAAAACATTGAGTACCCAACCAGGAAATCGGCCAGGGTGTCTCTTTTTGCCATTTTTAAGCTTGTGGTGGGCACTTTTCTGGCCCACTCTCTTTAAAGATGTACATGTTTTCTATCTAATTTATGATAGATGTCAAAGGTTGGAAAATATTTCTAAATTAAACATGATCCCCCTAGACCCTATTTTAATCATTGAATTTTTTTACTGTTGGGGTATCGATTTTATGGGACCATTTCCCCCCTTTTTTGGATATCGATATATTTTAGTTGTCATTGATTACGTTTCCAAATGGGTTGAGGTGATTCCTTGTCGAAAGAATGATCACCGCACAGTGGTTAGGTTTTTGAAAGAACATATTTTGTCTTGATTTGGAATCCCTCAAGCCATTATAAGTGATTGGGGTGCACATTTTTGTAATTGTCCATTTAAAAATTTAATGAAAAAATATTTGATTTCGCATAAAATAGCTTCCCCCTATCACCCACAAACAAATAGACTACCCGAACTAGCCAATCGGGAGATTAAACATTCTTTGAAAAAAAAGGGGAAACTCAGACCACAAAGATTGGTCCTTTTGACTGACTGATGCGCTTTGGGCATGCCGCATTACTTATAAAACAATTTTAATAATGACTCATTATTGGCTGGTTTACTGCATGTAAAATTGGAACATAGAGCTTATTGGGCAATCAAGATAATGAATTTTGATATAGAAAAAGTCGGTGCATCCAGAAGACTTCAAATAAGTGATTGGAGGAATTACGAAATGAGGCATATGAAAATGCCAAGATTGCAAGGCCTAGATGAAAATTTTTCATAATCAAAACATTGTGCGGAGATCCTTTACCTCTCCTAAAAGTCTTATTGTACAATTCAAGGCTCCACCTATTTTCTGGCAAGTTGCGGTTTAGGTGGAAGGGGCCCTATATTGTTAAACAAGTGGCGTTGTTGAGATAGAAAAACCATCAAATGGTAATACTTTTAAAGTTAATGGTCAGCAACTTGCACCATTTCAAGACAGATTTGTTAGAAACGTGGATTCCATTGACTTAATGGAACCACACGTTATTCTCTGAACCAAGCAATGATTTGTAAAATACTATATATATTGGGCAAATATCAGTTTTATTGTTTGTTTTGTAGGATCCGGAACATATTTCCTTCCTTTTACCCTTTTATTTTGAACTTCTACATGAGCATTTTCACATTGAGGACAATATCACATTTAGGTTGGGGGAGACGGAAATGGGAATGTCAAGGAAATGGGAATGTAAAAAGTTCAAATGTTTCTTTTATACATGTATAATTTTATAAATTTTTGTGCTTTTATAAATAAATGTGTTATTTTGAGCTGTGTGTTATTTTTGCGCCTCTATAAAGATGAATGAGTTATTTTGTTCTTTTATAGATAGGTGATATAATCATTATAGATTGTTTTTAATTTTATTTTTCAATTTACAGGAAAATTATTACATTTAATTACAAAACCATAAATTTCAGCAAGCAGGAGCCAAAAGCAGGAAAACAACAAAACAACAGTGTCCACCGTCCAAACACCCAGATGCGATTATAAATATTGCAGTTCACTGATCTGTGACTTTTCAAGCTCCTCCATTTCAGTTTCTTCAACCCCAGCCCCCCAAAACCCCCTATCCATCCATAGACCTTCACTACCCATCCATTTTTCTTAGATTCTAGCCTGATTAAACATCAAATCTAGCCCTTTTAGCTTGATTTCACCCATCAAAAGCCAAAATCAAAACCTTCATTTTACCATAAAGCTTCAAATCATATGGATCCTAGAAAGAAGTCCATTGCTTGGAAATCACAAGCAAGTTCAAGTAGATCACAAAGGGAGGCACCTCCACCACCTTAAGAAGCTACGAGGCAACAAGATTCGAGCGGAGACAATGTAACGCCTCAAAATCCACCCTGAACGGCATTATAAACTAAAAATCATTTACATCATTTCATACATCAAAGGTAATCTTTACAATCTCGTTCCCAAAAGAATACGCCAAAACATGACGAATATATTCCCAAAAGAATTAAACATAAATTCGCAGCGGAATTACAAAAGAATCTAGACTTCACAATATTTCCAAAGTAAATTTCCTAGTCTAGAATAAAAAGTAATGTTGTTCTAAGCGTCCATCTCGGGATCAACATGTTCGTCTACGGGAATCTCTCGGTGTGCCGGTTCCTCAATTCCCAAATCCTCCTCTAGTACATAATCTGAAAAATCTAGTTTGTAAGGGGATGAGCACTAAACTATATACCAACATTCCTCCCAAACTCGAACAAGGTTTAGAAAAATATATAAAAACGGTTGTACACCTTTCACAAATAGCATGTATAAATTTTGCAATAAAACAAGGACATTTAAACATATCTCAAGTTTAAGCAACATTAATAATTTAATGCATAAGTGAAACCAATATACAACTAATAATTCATTCCACCATAAACCGTTTTATCCCAAGTTTTTGTGGAATCTCATACTTCCTAAAATTCTTGTAGAAACTATTTCTGGTATAATGAACAATAAGCCACCATTGTATTCATATCTCTGACATGAAGTAAGACTTTGCATGGATACCATTGAAAATATCATGCCCCACGTATAATCCACACAAATCCTCTCAAGGATATCCAACCTTTAGGAATGACGTATGCCAACACCATGACACTGATGTATCCAACCAAAGAGTAGTATACTAACCCCTTTTTTCACGGTAACCCATAAGCGATAATGGTTTAGTCCTCGTAAGGCACTAATCCTATTACGAGTGGTAGAAAAAGTTCTAACCCACACGGAGTAAGAAGACGTCTACACACTACAAGATACCTAGTCAATAGTAGCTCATGTTTATCCAACAACCACACAAGAGATACAATAACAACAATTTTCTCAAATAACACACAATTCCATAAATCTCAAATTTCACATGTAGTATTTCAATAGAGCACGTGAAGAAAATGCAAGAGACATCATCAATATCATTTTAGTACTCAACTCAAAGCACTAAAGTTTTCTAAGTCAAGAACAAAGGAAGAATCAAGAAGAAAGTCCACCTCTTTTGAAAACTAGGGTTTTATATCAAGAAAATGAGATTTCATGGGTATTTAACCCTAACTTGTGTAAAACATGATAATAATTGCAAGAAGACCAAGAAAAGATGATTTAATAGCAAATATATAAGATTTAGAGTCAAAGAATACATATATATTAGCCCTAGCATCAGTGGACAAGAATGAAAGAAAACCTCTTACCTTGGTGTTCTTAAAAGCAAACTAGGGCTTTAATCCAATCCAATGTGCAAATTCCCTTTGATCTTGTGTTTTTCCCTTTTTTTCTTCCTCTCTAAGGTTTTCTAGGGTTAAAAATGTTGAAATGGGGCTAATGGAGGCGTCATT